CTTGATTCATAGTTGGGAGAAAACTCGCAATTTGAGGAATTACTGAAAGAATATGAGAGTGGATTGAGTCATTAATGTACGTTAATTTACTCACTCAAAAACAACATTAATGAAACTGTTTACCACTTACATAGAACTTGTTATATCGTAGAGAATGTAAGCTGATTTATTTGCAAAATCAATTTTAATCTTTTGATCGAGATTTTAATCTTTAGAGATAATGAATTCAGAGATAATCTTTAGACCAGCAAAATTTCTTCTGATAATGAATGCGACTGATTGGAATCGGACTCAGAATTGATTTAATTTATTAGTGTCGTCAAATGAGGCGGCAGGAGACACTGAAGAGACGTTAGTATTGGGTATTTGGTGATTTGATTGGTGATTGTTGCGACAAAAGGGGTTTTGTTCGAGAAGAATGGGTGGATAGCAATGCATAAAGAACGAGATTGACGTGGCACGTCAATTATAAATGACCAAAGATTGTTATTATTACGATTATAGCGTAACATATTGGCTCTAAAAAGCTTTAGGGATATAGGTGTGTATGCGTGTTTGTGACACACACANAAGACAACTGCAAAAAAGACGATTTGTTATTATTATTATTACCTTGCGCTCATTGGCAAGCTCTTGACTGGTTGTTTGTAGCGAGTTGCGTATACTCAAACGACATGCCAACGAGTAGATGACCGATGTGGAGTGCTGTTTGAGCCGTTTCAATTTGCTCGTTTTGGGCTGAACAAATTTTTGACTATTATTATTATGTAGAAAAACAAAAACATCAGTGAATACAACTGAACACAGTCACTGCGTTTTGTTCACATAATAGGTTTTTTTCTTATAATGATTGCATTAAGTCCTCACAGTCAGCTAACAGCAATTACTCAGTCAATTTATGTTGATAACGATAATGATAGAAAGTAAAAACAAAGAATCTACAAAGCAAGCCACTGAAGTGACGATGTGGGAATCGGAGCGCAACGAAGAGGCTAATCTTAAAAAATATCTTGAATAAATTTTATGAGCCAGATTGAAATAAACGATTCTAGTGAATAGCGTTCTGTGCTTCTGAAGAGCCGTACAATCAGTAGGCTGAGAAAATAGCAATGATAATAGTTTTAAGCATAAGGTTGAGCTGCCTCTCTTTGATTTTACATCAGCAGGTAAGTGTGCAGCTTGATTTCATTTGCTTAGTCATTAATTCGGAGCGATGAGTGATCAAAGAATCTCGCATTATTTAATAATGTCTGAGTCATTACATCCTCTTCGTTGTATCGTTGGAATTTTTGTTCAAAAAACTGCTGATTTGGTTTCTTTCGAATTCAGTCTTGAATTCAGTTATTTATTTTGTGTAAATTTATCGCATTTGAATGGTAAAAATGCAATGAAGCGATATTGATAAATAAGTTAACTGCGAAAAATATTCAATTTGGGTGATGGTAATCTTGCATCGCCAAAAAATGATTCGTAACGCATCGTTTGTCTGTTCTTCTTCTTTGCAGTTTCTTCAGAAAGCAAAAAAAAAATCTCAATAATTCTCTTTTTGAGTTCAGTGGAAGAGAACATCGGATTATTGTCATAATTTTTTTGTCATTATTACTTTTGTTGTTATTATCGTTGTCTTGCATGCAGTGACCGTTCCCATTTTCATTACTCAATACTTCTGTTCTCAATGAACTAAGAAAAGTGATATGTTTGCATGAGAACCAACCGCATTCTGCTTGTCCACTGACGAAGTGATCAATTGGAATTCATCCTCACTAAATAATGGAGGTGTAGTGATCCGGAATGATGAATAACTACTCGCGTTCGTAGCACTTCTGTGCAGTGTTCCGTTCGGAAATCTGTAATTCCTTTTTTGTTGCTTGAGAATTCAGAAGTTCAACAAATTTGATTCTGTGATGGTTGGACGGACGGACGGACGGACGGACGGACGGACCGGACCCACTCTCTAGTGACATTCAACTGGAGATATTCATGTATGATCGCTTTTAACTGAGTGTTTAAAATCACCGATCGACTCTCAACAGATCATCACCCTTTTCTAAATCTAATCCAGATCAAAATCTCGAATTCATTGTTAGGGAAGTTGAGTTTAAGTGTTACTTTGGCATTGAATGAGTGAACAAATGATTGGTTAAATAATAAGCATACGGTGCCGCATGGGAAGTGGCAAGTTTGCGATGTATCAACGTGCGTCGCAATCCGTTGGAACGAGCGCTGACACGTTGCGATAGCTGAGACGCTTGTTTGTTGAGCAGAGTGGTGGTTTTGACGTAAGTGACAACCATGACTATGAACGGAATCAAGAACGCGAACGTTGAGCCGTAAACCATGTAGTAACGATTCGATATGGCGCACGTGTTGTCCTGTAGAATGTTGGTTGGGTCGTAGAGTGCAGCGACTGCGATCGGACACGAGATTAGCACTGTGATCAACCAGACGAACGCGATTTTCATGGTGGTGATCGTGGGTGATTGATGACGAATCTTGAGCGGTTTCGATATGCCCAGAAAACGATCGAGCGATATCATGGACATGTGCACGATACTTGCCGTGCACAGGAATACATCCGAATACACGTACAGTAAACACACTGAAAAACTCCATGTCCATACACCTGAAAGGCGTTTGTTGGTGAAGTTTTTGCGTTGATTCATCATAAAAGTACTGTTAATATCCATGATGACATTGAAAATAATTATGTTGGGTGGGGGGCTACATATAGTTGCGTTTTGCTTATTAAATATCGTAGTTGGCTGTCGCTGAAATTAGCCATGCCTGATAAATGAAACGATCAATTGATTCGATAAGAAAGTATATCGCTTTCGAAATGAATTCATTCCATTTGGGAAAAAATAATAGGACTCAGTTGAATTGGACTGTGAGTATCTGATCTCAGCACTTGTATTTTATTGCATTTGCACACAAGTCTCATCATCATTTCTCAATGAAAAGTTTTCAAAGTAATTAAAGCTGAACAATCGTTTGAATGTGTTTTATTTGTTTTGTAAATTAACGTTCTAGGAAGGTGGTGGTTGAAGAGGAATTCGCCTAAAGATTGAATCATTATTCAAGAAACAATCTAATGAAATTTGTCATAGCTGTTTTTGTTGGGAGGAATGCTTTGGTGAAATATGAGTTTGAGTGTTTATGTATGATATTGAAGAGTTGTGTGCTTAGTAATGATATTCTGGTGCAGTGTTATTATGAGGTAAGTGCTGTCGAGAATGGTTGATGTATGCACACACGTGCAACTTCTATGCAACTGCACTCTTGTCGACATTGCTGAGCACTAATCCAATTATGCAAACACTTCATTAGCGCTGATTATCCTCATCGTCTACTTCTCCATCTACTCTGTTGGATTATTTCGTTTGATCACCGCAATGAAACAACCTAGACTCATCGATTCAACTATTAGCATATGATATCATATCATATCATGTTGATGAGATGTTAGCAAAAGATTAGTGGTGATTGTTTTGAAAGCGTTCAATTACGTGCTGAAAATGAACGAATTGAAAACGATTTCGTTGGAATGGGATGTGGAAAGAGTGAGTGAAGAGAATGCATAATGTATAAATTAAAGGGAAGAGTAGGCTTGAAGTGTGCATAATTTAGGTAATGTTCATTGATTAAAATTACTTCAGAGATGCTTCATGAAAACCTCTCGTTCTTTTCACAAACATTCTCAAGTGAATTTCATTTTGTTGCAAACGATTTTTGATCATTTTGAGCGAAAATGAATTGATCTCATTCGTCATTTTCTCGTTCTTCATCACATGAATGCTTGAGAACATCACGGTAGTGGTGTGTACATGCAGAGAATATTCATTTCTGTTTACTGCTACACAAATCTTGATTAACACTGTGCTCATTTGGATTATATACTGCAAGTGAACGAATAAACGCATGAATTGATTAACTAGCAGCATATTTATGCTCAATGTTCTGCAAGAAAATTTTTGCGTACATCGAAGCAACAAAGTTCAAAAAAAAAAAGATCGCGATCGTTTCTAATGGAATTCGGTTGTGTAGGGTAAATATTTAGTCAAAGAAACTTGTATTCTTTTTTTGCTAATCCTTCATAAATGATAGTCTTTCACCCGTCAGTTGCACTGAATATTCTTTAATTTATTTGTGATTGATGCACAGCATTCCTCAAATAATTTCTGGCATCGTTGCCGAACACAGTTTTATTTGTTGATGGTTTTCATTTTCAAAACACTCCAGCAAGTTTAACGTTCATTCTTTCTTCTGATTCCAAAAATCGTTTCACGAAAACTGTTTTGTTATGAAGAAGATCGATAGGTTCGACGAGGATGTATGAAATGTAATGCCTTCAAAAAGTTCGCAGTTGTTATGTTGATCTGTACAATAATGAAACGCCCTTTAAAAATTATTCGAAAATTTTCGCTCTTGATGCTGCTTTCTGGGCTCCACGATGATTTTGCACTAAGTCGCGGAAAGGTCGTATGAGGGAAGTCACTGGAAGTTAGTGTGAATCCGGATGAGGATGATTGGCATGAAAACCGTATCTCATGTTTTATTTTATGACAGGATGGGCAGAATGAGTTAGTTCTCTAGCGGTAAAGAGATCAATGCGAGTGATCTCGTGATCGTGTAGTCTCCCCAAAAAAGGCATTGAACAACTTACCGTGTCGTACTTCGACGAGTAGACCCAACGGCATCACAATACTACAAACGAGGAGATCGGCGAGAGCAAGTGAAAACAGGAAGTAATTGGTGACGTTGTGTAGGCGACGATCAAAATAAATAGCAATACAGACAAGCAAATTGCCCAACAAACCAACAGCACATAGTAGGGGTAAGAGCAAAAGTGCGAGTATGTTCGATGTTTGACGTGTGGTTGACACTTGGACACGGATGTGCGTGAATTGCCACTCGGACATGCGTAATGGTATTTGTTGGTTTGAAATTCACAGAAGTCAGTGGTTGGTGCTGATACTGAATGTGATCAGCAGTTGCGGTTGGATGAATTCGATGAGAAGACGTGTCGAAAAGACCAACTTGTGATCGGCTTTGTGATGCATGCAGATTCAACTTGTGCTGCATTTAATGACGAAAATAAGCTGAGTGGCAAGCTGTTGTCAAAGTTTGTTAATGCAGTCACTGATCCGACGAAATTTGTTGCTGTTCAGTAGTCAGCAGTGAATAGTACTCTGACCTTTGAAGGAGATGGAATGTAGTTAGTAGTATTGAAATTATCAAAGAATTTTACGCACATGCTGCTCATGACGATGCGATTTTTTGCATTTTTTTATTTGGGTTATGAAAGTTCATTAAGTTGTTGTTGATAGCAAGTCAATGAGGACAAAATTGATCCAGCTGACATAGTGATCGTTTGAGAGCAACGAGAAGAGGAGATTTTGGCTGAGACGAATGCCAGAATTAGAAATTGACGCTTAGTAATGTTCTTGAGTCGATAAATATTAGAAATTAAATGGGAAACGATTATGGAAGGAAATAATCATAGAAGTCTGGTAATGGGTTTGATGAATGGCTACAATAAAGATGCTAATAGCGAATGCTTCATGGACAGTACGAGTAGTATCACAGAACAATGTCAGAGGGTAACAAAGTGAGAATCAGCATTCGTTGTGGAGCATGATGCGTGCATATGGTTATATTCAATCAAGTGAAATACACCGTCTGAATATTATTAGAGTAATGGTGTGTCGTTGATCGACCATGTACCGCCTATTCTGTCGTCGTTTTATTATAATAATAACAAGCAGCAGACACTCCCTTCAGCAAACGAACCTAGCCTCTAGCCAACAAGTTCACCGCTTCAAACGCATTTCGAATGCACTTCTGAAGGCGTGGCCAATTCAAAATAAATCTTTTGTTCATTAACAAGAGAATATTTTGATCCTCTTAGTGGCAGCAGCTCAATGCAACATCACATTGATATTATCGAGATGAACGTTTCTTTCTTGAACCACCCGTCAGCTCATCTCCTCTTATCACTTCATATCATATCACCAATTGCGATCGGCACTAATTCGTCATGTTTCCTTTCTATTTCACCTCAAAATTTACTCCATCTTCACAGTCACTACCGATCCAGTGATAATTTTTTTGCAAAATAAACTGAAAAAAATTCCGAAATAAAGAATATCCATTTCTTGTTTCATTCGTGTCGAAAAGTTCGCTGATAATAGTTATTTCTGCGTATAAAAATTCACTTTTCATCCATGATTTGTTTCAGCATCTGTGTCTCATTATTCATCAATTTTCAATTGTTTATATCCAAGTTTTCGTTGCTTTCTGAATGCGGATAATATCTGCTTTCAATGAAATTGTACACTATGCGCTATTGAAAGATTTTACTTGGAAATCGAGTCGTTTGTGATCTCAGAAGCGAATGGATAAGTCGCGCAATCGTTTTGCTTTATAGCTTGTAAAAAGATGTCTGACCCGCGATTGAAGTTAATTGCCAACTCGCAATTGAGCGTGTCACTGAATAGAGTCAATAAAAGCAATGAATATTCAATAATGTGTCGCTAATAAGATGCCGTCTCGATGTAATCTTGTCTTTCATTATTAAGCAGTTGTTGTTGTTGTTGAATTCCATAAACGCAAAATAACAATGCCGTCCGTGCCTTCGACATGCCTTCGTTATTAATTTACTTTCATAAGTAAAAATTCAAATATTCCGGGAAGTTTTTCTGCGACAATTTGCATTTGCCAGTTGAACGCATCACTGATTCAGTGTATTTACTGTAAATGTTGGGTGCTTTCTTGCAAGCTTGCTTGCTGTTGATTCGGATATTGCTTTAGTCGGATAATATTCATTTCGAAATTTGATTATTCCTTGCGTGCGTTTTTCTTGTTGTTGTTGAAGCATTGACCATTTTCGCGTGGTGAAATAGATTCTCAGGCTGCGTAAATGGGATAAAATTTATTTCATTCGCATATTCCCGCAGAGGTTTTTATTGAGTTATTTATTGTGATATTATGAAGTATTCTGTGGAGTTTTTACAGTTAGTATGTTATTTCAGTGACGCAGAACAATGCCTCAGTTATACGGGAATGTTAGTGGAGCATTTCAATGCGCATGTTCGATATGGTGCCGCAATGGCGCTAGGAATTTCGTGTGCTGGTTCGGGATATAAGGTTTGTAATTGATGAAATGTTTTTCATTTTTTGTTCCTAATCCGATCAATCTTTTCAATTGTNTGAATTAATAGTGATTTCAAAATTGCAATTGTATGAAAAGCTTGGTGCAGAGCAAGCTTTCCGAACGCTGTTTGAATTGAAATCGAATTTTTATGTGTTCGTGTTTGTTGGTGTGGTCAGTGAATAGCTGTTTATTTCATTTATTAGCTTCTGTAGTTGTGATTATTCAGTTGATTGATTTTGCTAAATTTTCGCAGTCATTTCTTTGACCGTACTTTGTACTCAACCGAACAGCAAACTTTCAAAATCATAATCGTTTATCAAAATTTGCGTTCGTTCGTTCCTGGTCTAGGCAGATTCAAAATGGATTCACAGTTGATTTTGATCTCGGCAACCATTCACTATTCTTGCTCATCGTCGTAAAACGACAATAGTGAATGCGATTTATGACGAAAGGAAATGATATCATTTATGAACGCGCTTTATTGTGCACTAAATGCCATTTATCACGTCTGAACTCGTTTTTGTTTTTATCGAAGGCCGTCTCAAATTTGCACTCAAAAATTAATGGTCTGTTCATCGATTTCGGACGATTTACTCGAGTTGGGTGCGATCATTCGCTTTTTGATGCCAACTAAAAGCGTAGTTTTTGTGGAAAGTTATCCATCTTAACGGTCATCGTGATTTTTACTTGTAGGAACTGATTTCTTGAGTTTGAGTTGAACCGTTTAATTCAAGATCATTAGTCGTTCGTCGAACTCAACATTTCGTTGGTTTCATTTGAAGTGTTCACCACAGCTGTTCAACATGATTGTTGTTTTCGTTGTCCTTTCATAATGTTACCATCTTTTTTAGCTATTATTTTTTGCCACAAATAGCATTTGTCGATCACTAGTCGTCGTTAATTTTCAGTAAATGAGATTATTTCTTTGCCATCAAAATGGACTAATCTGAATAAGTACATTTGCTCCATTTTAAATTTCTATCGAATGAGATATTTTCGTATGCACTATGTGATTGCCGTTTATTTGGACATTTATTGCTCTAATCAGGCTGTACCTACCCGTCGTAAATGCTGTTTCATAGATTCATTTGCATTTATCCATTAAAAAATTCTTCATATTCGACGCGTTTTAAAATTTTAGTTGAAAGTCTTGAAGAGTGCCATTTAAGATTGTTATTGAATTGTGAGAATGTGTGCATGTAGGTGTGTGTAGATTATTGCGTGTAGGTGTATGGGTGCAGTGAAGTGAAAGGTTTGCCGGAAGATCGCCATAAGAAAAACGTNTTTTTTTCGAAAATTGAAGGAAGTCATCAATGTTGACCGAGGATTTTTGAGACTTCCTTTGAGTATGGATTTCGTGCATTCTTACTGAAAAGTCCGGATGCTTTTATAAAAGAACACTTTCTGTTCGACGAGAATAATTCTATCCGTTGGGTTCGAAAGAACGTTCCTTGTTTGTTTTCGCGTACTGAGACACATAAATGTGATCAAATTTCATTCATCTTCTTAAAAACAATGAAAATTTGTAAGTCATCCTTTTCGTTGGTTGGTGTTTCCTGGAGAACGAAGAAAAGTGGCTACCGTGAAAATGTCCGGAACAAAGATGGGGTTCCCGAAATTCCTCGTTCCCTGTGCAACACACCACTATTCGTCGTTTGATGTTGGGTTTCCGGGAAATCAAACTTGATCTACTACTCATTGACAGAGACTGTTTGATTACGTTTTTTTTTGACCGTAGCAATGATTAACATCGTTTTCATTACTGTTACTGCAGTTGAGAGGAGAGGAAATCTAGTTCGAGGTCAACAAGAAATAATTTCTCGTTTCATTGTTTCAGTACGGATTAATAAAGGTAAACATGTGTTGGATAATGTACTCAAATGAGTGTTGACTTCTTCAGTTTGTCATTAATAGTCTATGTTGATGCATAGTTGCATTCGCAATTCTGTATTTTGATTGTTTGTGAATGTGATCGATGCCACTCGAACGCACATTATTCAGATTTGCGCTCGTTTTTCAGTGATGACAACACAACGAACAAACAATTTCTGTGTTGTATCTTCATTACTGAATTATCAGCTGTTTTTTAAACACCAATAGTGTCGCTTTTTTTGTGGTGATATGACAAACAGACAAATTACAAGCTGAATTCGAGTGCGTACTTGAATTTTCGGAATGAATTCTTCTTTCTTTTTTTTNGCACCTCTTCAGTTTTTTATTTCAAAATCATTCTCTTCCTAAACACAGCCACATTGCGCATAATCGTCTTCTCAAGAATCACAAAATTAGTATTTCTAATTGATGAAATGAGCGCATAATGTTGATTTGTGATGTTTTATCAAATTTGATAGATGTGTTGGGGGGAAGGGGGAGGCTGTCGGCGAATTATGGAGAAATGTGCAGAAAGTGACATACGAGTACGATGAAGTTTTGTGGTTAACTGATTGTGAGCCTTATTGACCAAAAACGTCGTCACAAATGGTGATTGTCGAACAACAGTGTTCTGTCTCAGCAAATGATCACTATCAATAAAACAAACAATTAGCTGGAGTTGAGAAGAAAGCGATCTGAAATGAGTGTTTTGCTAATGATTGTGAAAGGATTGATAGCGAGAAGGATGAGTGGATGGATATGTGGATGGGTTGATGATTGCTTGGTGGATTGATGAGGCAGACTTAATGTGCTGCAATTATTGCTGAAAGTACGCTTTCACGTTCGATTGCGTGCATCCAATCACTTTCAAAATGAGATTTCTTTTATGTGAGACTTTTATTTGGTTTTTGCTTGAAGACTCAGTGAGAGAAGCTCTCGGCAAATCACTAAATGAAGGAACCTTTCTATAAAAAAAAANNGATGTTATCGCCGCATGACTGTTGTCATTGTTTGGCTATTTGAGAGCGACTCGATGAGGAAAGACTTACTTGCTCATTGCACATCTGCAGAGAATATAGTTAATATTGTCATGCTCGTCATAACTTACTTTCAAAAATCTTGCGGCGAACAATAATTCTCACATAATCCTCATCATTATTACATATGACGTGTTCGATCAGTTTTTTTTGATGCATTCTTAGCGCAGACTGAAAGGTCATTGTTGTTTTTCTTTTTGAGAAATTGGATTAGATTAATGCTCTTGATTGATCATCATCACAATGATGATGAGAATGATGGAAGGGCTTTCGATTTATGCGCTCATAAGGATAAAAATATTGGGGTATGAATAGAAGAAAAGGAATATGATATCGAGAATGATGATGATATTCATTTTGGACGTAAGGGTTTGCGACTGATACGAGAAATGAATTAATTGCATTTTTTCTAAGTGAATCCGAATGAAACATGTGCTATTTGTGTGTTTGATTGATGTGATTCAATCATGTTCAGTACTAGATGTTACACGCTTGAATCAGTTCATTTCAAATGTCGTCTTGTCCAAAAAAAGGATTAACATTATTCACGAGAGCAGTATTGAAGCTATTTTTACTTAGTGACATTTTGTTTTGCGTGCATTAATGAAGAAACAAGGAACACAACTGCATTAAGCAGCAGCCAAGTAAACATCTTGCATACCGAGTAACTTCCTTCTCACGCATAATCTAGGCGAATTATGTTCTGTTGGCTTCGAACTCGCATCGGTTTTGTCTTGTGAACGATCGAGAAGCATCTGCTGAAGTTTGTTGCGGTGGCATGTTGAAGAGCATTCATTTTTGATGTCACTAACATGGGCTCACAATAAATCTTACTGTATTCAATACATAACGAGTAGTTTTTTGTGTTGATTGTGAGATAAGGTGAGCTGACAAGTGTGAGAGCACAAGACGGATTATTTAGTTGTTACCCGTCGTGG